TTTCTACTCAATTTTCGCTGAGGAAAGGCAAATAAATTTATTTATTGAATAAATATTTTATTAAACCTATTTATAATTATTTTATATTAAATTTTTATTTATCTTCTAGGTAAACGTCCTCAGAATGTGACAAATTTCACATGCAGAAATTACGATTACATTAACATCACATGCAGTTTTAACAAACCACAGAACAATATTTTAACCACATATAATTTAAGTTACATATTAGATAATATGCGTTCAACAAAATATCCAATGGAGTCCTGTGAACCTAAAGATAGTTCAGTTTATTGTTGCTATAGATCTAAAATAGGTCTGAAAAGAGAATTTTATAATTTTACGCTGGAGTCGAATAATTACTTGGGTACAAATATTCAACATTTTTCATTGGATTTATATAAGAATGGTGAGTTCATATGATTTAAAATATTATAAATATTTACTAAAGTTTATCATGTTTCATATATTTATGAACGATTTTAAATGCTTCTTCTTTTTAAACATTTTTATTTCTTCGGGTTTGACTTCATTTAAAACGTTTAGCAGTTGAAGATTTATTCCATTATAAAGCGATCATTTTAATTCATTATAGTTGTACAAAACTTTTTGCTCTTTATTTTTTAATCTATCTATTACTATGTTTATTATCATATAAATTTTAAGTGAATTTAGGAGAATTTAGTAGAGTTTTAGTTATGTATTCGACACTAAGAGACATACTTGCAAAGATCAATTCTATATCTTTATTATTTTTATTTTATATAATAAACCTATTTCAATTGGAAAATTATTGTCAAGCTTTATTTTTATAAACATAATAATAGATGTATTAAATAATAAAAAGGAAAAAGAGGATTTTAGTCATATATTCAACATTAAGAGACATTCTTGCAAAGATCAATTCTATGTCTTAATTATTTTTATTTTATATAATAAACCTATTTCAATTGGAAAATTATTATCAAAATTTTTCTTTATAAAAAATTTTTTAAACTAAAACTAAAAACTCAAGCACAATTTATTAATAGATTTATATGATATTCACATGGCAAATTTAAATTTAAATCAATTTATAGTTTATCAAATATTTTATATTCACTATTTTTCTATAATGAACGAAAATGAATCAAAGGATTCAGAATATAGTCTAGTGTTACTTTATTTGCTAAAGCTAACTTTTTTGTAGCGATTTACGATTGAGAAAGCATGCTTATATTTAATGAATTAAGTAATATATATTTATATTGTTTTTCTAAACGTATATGTCTACGAATCCCTCTTCATCGTAACTGAATTTCTGTAAGAATCACAACTATAAAAACTTTCATTCGACCCAGTTGCATGTGTTCAGAGTCCATGTTAATTTTAGTAGTTCGTTAAAATACAACTATTATGTAGCAATCTTGTTTACCTTAGCAACATTCTATTTTAACTTTGAACTTTATACTATATAAGGCAACGCATTGAATATACACTATACTCCAGAGCCCCTAAAGTGATATAATGCGATATTGTAAAACTTATTGCCTTCAAAACTTATTCAAATCCTTCATAGGGCTTTTCTGTTGATATTACGCCATTAATTTCCTAACATGTTTTATAAGTCTATTTCAATATATAACGACTCCTCGCTTTTTATTTTTTAAGTTGTGCCTGAAAAACTATACGTTGAAGTTAAAAATATTACGGACAAAAGTGCAACGCTAGTATGGAATCAACATCAAACAGAGTTCTATAAAGAAATGGGTCTTGAATATGAAATTTTATTACGATACGAAGGACGTCATTGGCATCAGTACAAAATTGTTCAATGGAATAGAACATTAAATGTTAATGTACAATTAGACCTGCCGTTTGCTTATTATAAATATGATTTTAAAGTACATGTTAGGGTAGCTAAAAGGCCTAATGACGACGTAATTCCTTCAATTTGTTTTGATGATGATATATTCAATGTAAATAATATGTGGAGCAAATCATTTGAAAATAAATTTGAAACAAAATCAAGAACACCGGATTTCGCACCAAAGACCGCAATAGGAAGTTATTATATTGGTCAAAGTACAACTCAATTATATTGGCACGATATGGAAAAATATGAAAAAAATGGTGCCACATTTCATTATATCGTTCGAGAAATTGATCAATATTCCAGTAATAAATTGTAAGTAATAACATTTTTTTAGTAATTGTGTAAGTTTATTTATATCGTTTGCTTATTTAGTGTGAATCAATGGACCACTAATAGTTCTGAAATAATTTTGAACACAACTGATAGCCGTACTTATACTGTTTCAGCCTGGAATGAAATTGGTGAATCTAATGATAAATCAATTATTCGTGTTTTTGAAGCAGAAACGTTACGAAACCCTAGTAATGTTGCTTCAGTTTATCATAACGATTCTTATACGTTAAAATGGATCGCGCCCAACGAATTACCAACCAACTATACAGTTTATTGGTGTTTATCCGCCAGAGAACAACAAGACAAATGCAATGTAAGTACTTAAATAGAATTAATAGTTTTTTAGTATTAATCAGTATTTTTAGTATTAAAAAAAATATTACATATATGGTAAGTGTTTCTTATTTATTTATTTTATCTCATTTTCTCCAACTGCATGTGAAATCCAAATTGGTTGTTGTCAAAATGCAGGTACTATCCAAATAATTTCTTATTGCTTGCCACACAGATGGATATTCAAATGGGAATTCGTCAGTGGAGTTCTCCCTCTACAATACTTTTTTTATTATTTTCAACGATATCGACACTTACTATACTCTTCATATACCTTTCATATCCAGACAGGATTTTTTGAGAGAACATGTTTGCATTCCCACAATGTTTTTGAGACGCACTTATCTAATATCTCTAGACAATTTACATGTAATCCTTCCTACTCAGCACATAAAAAAGGTCACTATAAAGGTTTATGTTCAAGCGGTGGTCATGTGGGATAACAGCAGCCCAATTTGGCCCAAGCGTGTTAATTAAAAAAAAAACGATATCACTAACCTACTGCCTACCTACATGTAACTAATACTAACTTCCGTACCAAAAGTAGATCAATTCTAATGTTTCCCATCTGTTTATCTGTACTACTGTTCAAAAAAAATTTAACATTATTGTTTAACCGTATTATTAATCAATACGACAAAGATGGTGAGGTTCATTCAGGTTCATTTGCTCCTATCTTCTATACCACTTTTAAGTTTCTATATACATTTATATCCACTAACATTCTTCTCACCCCATCCAACATACCTTTAGAGATTTTCTGGTTGTCTTATAACAATAATTCAACAATTACTTGGATAAAATTTTTAACTATTCCACTGAATACACGAGTCTAGACTTTTAAGTTCCAAGAACGGCCGACTCTACATCACAGAGTCACTCAAAACCACAACGACTAAGTGCCGTTCTCCACCCCAAAGTGAATTTACAAGCATATCCCTGCGGGTTACTACAACAACATCTAGACTTTTATATATTAAGTATTTAAATAGCGTATACTTAATTCTAATACTCATGCAAATTTTTTTATTAAATTAGTAAAACAAAAAATTAAGTTGCAATGACACATCGGTATATATATATATATAGTTTAATTTTATTTTTTATTACAATTAATAAGTTTATATTTTATAGGGCACCATAAATTTTGTAAAAGTAAATAATAATGAGACTAACTATACAACGCCACCTCAAAAAGTCTCTCTTAATTTAGCTGTATCAGCTAATTACCCCAATTATAGTAGTGGAATGATATGGTCTAAATGTGCAGCAGATATATTAAGTGATCTCACAGAACTAAGTGCAGAAGTACGGGAGAAATCTTCCAATAATATACATATACAATGGAGTTTGGATAATGTCTGTATTTCAATCATTAAAGGCATTAATATTACCTACTGCCCATTATCAAGTGATAATATCATGGGAAAATGTAACAATATAACGTTATCTGGACAAGTGATACATTACTCTTATAACATAACTAATCTGAAATCGTACACAAATTATACAATCTCAATACGAATGTATTCAAAAACAAAAAGAGGACCCATAACTACACTAACGGAGCGTACAAATGAATCTGGTACGTATATTTAGAAATTTATAGTATGTATGTATAATTTTAAGAATAAAAAAAAAATTTGAAATTGTAATTTTGTAGCTCCAAGTGCTCCGAGAGACTTAAGAATTTATAATGATTCAGTAACAAGTAAATCAATCAATATCTCATGGCTACCACCATTGGAATTTAATGGACGACGTATTGATCACTACACTATTAAGTAAGGATTATATAGCGCTATTAAAATATTTTCTTTAAACAATTTTCTATTTTATACAATCTTAACAGTTTCAAGAAAATAAATTCTACAATAGACGAACACAGAGATATTCTCTATGAAAATGTAAATACAACTAATAACGATCATGATCGTCGTATCAATTTTACTTTAGGAAGCCTGAATAGTTATACTGAATATGAAGCTAATGTAACAGCATACACAGTTAATAATTCTGTAGCAAGTAATAGTGTGAGATTCAAAACTCTAATTGGGGGTAAGTATAAACTAAATTAATGACTTAATAATCGATTTTATTACAATGAATTAGAAGGTTACAAATTAAGAAGTTAGTAGGATATATCATTCTTTTATATATCATATACTAACTAAAGGTTAGCTATTTGTGGGCCAATCTGTCTCCAAACACATAATTCATTACTGTATGTTCTAATCTATAAATCTCGTTTCTAAGAATTCATAATAAATAAGTTATGAATACATTATTGGTTTTATACGGATCATAAAGCAGAATATATTTACCATATCTATTATTTCTTAATTCCTTTAACTGTGTTTTACTTTTTTTATCTGCTTGCTCTTAATTTTAAAATGTCATCAGTAGTTTACAAATATAGCAGATAAAGTATATAGCAGATAAAGTACATCAGACAAATATTCTTCTAAAAAATTAAGCTAATATACATATACTTATATACGTATATTCTTTAACATGACAATATAAAGATAAGCATAACAAATAAACTTATACTTTATGTATAAATAATTATATGTATTATAATTATTATTATATTGTCCACATTACTAGCAGAAGCTTAGGGTTTTTATATAAGTATACCATTTATTAAATATTCTGGTGTCTTTCTTTGAGATCAATGTTTCAAAAAGAAGTTGGCATAGTTCTTACGATATGGACTCAATCGCCACAACCTTAGTTATTAAAAACAGGGTACATAACTACAAGAATAGAAGTTGGCATTGAACAAATAAAAGAAACTGCTCAGCCTCGAAAGAGAGAATATATCTAAAAGTGGGACTTGTATAATCGGTCACTTGCGATTTGGCAGCAGTGCTCTCAATCTAGAAACATCTACTCATGAATAGTGGAAGAGTATGAAACAGTCGAATACTTTTCTATCTGTCCCATTCCCGCTATTAGCAAAACGAATTTCCTGTGCAATTGTCTTATTTACCCTTTTATGAAAGTGTCCAATTCTAAAATTAACAACATCATGTTTTCTGGTTCCATATTTAAAATCAGCTAAGGTCACATATAAAGCAAGGGTATCACAATAGGCGCTTAAAATCTAAGTAGGTTGACCAGCTAGAACGGCTGCCACAATAACTCAACCCTACATATGCCACATGGACACTCCTTGCGGCAATACTATATACATCAAGAAGAATAGTTTTCATGTTGGACAACTAATGTGGTGGTGGCACAAATGAAACAGCAGCACTGTTATAATGTTGTGGTCAGTTGTTGACGGTAGAGAGCAAAAATTGTAGCTGTTATTGGTGGTTGTTATTATTGTAAACAGCGGAGATCAGATGACATAAAAAATATTACAAATACATATACATGGGTTAGGATGTGGTTAGGTAAAGGTAGTGTGAGAGG